ATAAGCCTGTATAAAGCCATTCAGTGCTGTTCCAAGGGAGGATAATATGGTCTAGGCAGAAACCAGGAGGGAAGGGAATGGGCATTGTTGACGAAAGAACAAGAAAGTTTTCTGCTTCAGGTCTCTTCCAGGGAAAAAATCTTGGGGTGAGCTCCAGGTTGTATAAATGCGAGAAGATATGCATTTTCAACCACGAGGGCCCCTCCTGGTAAACCGCCATTTAGGTCCACGGCGCATCTTTCCTATTCACGACAGATTTGGTTGATTTGCCCAAGACACAATTTTCATGGCTGTTCCTTGTGCCTCCTGTTTAAAGAAGATAACCCAGTAAGCAAAATCAAGCTGAGACAATTGTTTGTATAGTATAAGTTGACAGTCTTGGATTGTGCAAGTGACAGATCCTCCACAGGTCTCATGCTGTAGCCCTTGGTTGTACAAGCGTTCTTGTCAACATTATCTCGAGATCCAGTGCAAGACGAGACTCCAAGGAACAGGATAAAGACCAGGCTTTCCCTCCATGAAAGAAAACCGGTAATATTAGGGTTTGAAGACATGTAGGTTGGTCCTTCTAATATCAGCATCATCAGAAACTCTTGAGAAACTAATTTATGGATTCTGCCATCACGCCAGTGCGTTGTGAACTGCACTACTAAGAGATGAAAAGCTCTGTCTGATTTTGATATCCTCGCCGCAAGCAGAACCCTAAAGTACAGGTTCTTGGTCCAATACTGGATAACTTCCCCCCCCCCCCTACTTGCTTCCCCAATTGCAAAAGTTTTGTTCCTTATATAGTCTAGTTCAATTTATGGTTTGTTTTTTGTCTAAAAGGTTTTCGATTGGGTTGTGTGATCATAGCTCTGATCTGCCTGTTCATCCCCCTGAAAATAATTGCGGCTGGGGAAAGGTGAGGGCTAACTTGTCTGCTCTGGCCAAGAATTCATTGGTCAATGGGTAGATGCCGTCATTTACTTGGTCCATAGCTGCAAAACTGGCGCCTGCAGTGTGGGTAATGGGCTCAACATGTTCGGTCAAGGAAATATGTGATACTACCTGCAGGGAAGACCATCAAATGAATCCCTCTGCTTCTGCTCTCAATGGAAGCTGTGGGGTTTTCGTCTTTTTCTGGTTATGGCCAGGGCAGAAGGGGGACATGGTCAGTGTGGTGATAGGTTATGCACTTGGCTAATAATTATTCTTTGAGTTGAAAATATACAACCATCCGGATTGATTGGGACAATTTGCAAACAGTTTGTACTAATTGTCTCCACAGTTTTTTCTGAGATGTTTCTATAGGTACTTGGATGGCCTTAACAAATAATTCTATTATATTTTAAGTGCCCAGGGAAACGAAGGTTGAGAACTTGTCCATCAGGGGGCACCCATAATTGTTCTGGCAAACTCATTTTCAGACTGGCTCAAACCTGTCCCCGAGTTTAGCTTTAATAGAAATTAGAAATTGAGAATCACAATGGGATGGATCACATGGAAATAAAATCTTAAGAACAACACTAGAAGTCCAGTCCCTTGAATAGATACCCATTATTAGAGCCATGGCCTTCGGCTTGGCTGTAGATATCTTTAGTTCTGCTATGCAGCCTCAAATATGTAAGATCCAGACAGAAGTGAGCCCTTCTCATGATGTTCCTCCCGATGGAGATGACAGCAAGATTCTTGTGTAGGATGCATAAGATATCTTGCATAAGAGGTTTGATATAATAGATATAGATACATTGATATATATATATAATATATATATATATATATATAATATATATATATATATATATATATATATATGAATGAATAAATGAACATACAGAGAGGTTAATGTGGATTCTGAATAAAGCTGGACTGTGGACTCAGGACCTCACCTTGAGGTGTCTCAATCTCAAGTGGTTTGCTCTCGTTAGAGTCTTCAATTTAGCAAGAAAGTTTATCAATTCGAAGGGCTTCTCTAATCATGCTTAGGGTGATGTGAAGCAAGGGTGGCAGCCGAGGTAGTGTTAAGTGCTTGTATGCCTTCTCGCTTACAGCTGCCACCGGTAATTAGCCTAATGCGAAAAAGGGAGCAGCTATGCATCAGCCTCCCGCTGCCTCTCCATCATCGAGACTTCTGCAGTGCCTCCTCGTGGCCATCCATGGTAATTGGGTATCTTGTGGTCCCAGGCTAAACTGTGGGGGATCTCAGAGCAGCAGGAGGCCCTAGAGGTACGGAGTCATGGCTCACTGGTGTGTTAACATGCCCTGGCTCTGTACCAACTCCTGCCCCTCGGTCTCCTGGGGTAGTAAATGTGCAGCTCGAAGTGGGCCTTGCCAGTCCTGCTTCCCCCAGATACGAACCTATTGGCAATGAAACGTGTAATTGGAAATGCTGGGGAGAGGGGTATTGCCCCTCCCATCCAACAAGTGAGGCAGGCTGTGGGTTCCGGTGCAATGGCGACTGGTAGGGAGCATGATAGGAATGGGAGTTACTTGTTCCATCTGCACCCTGGCAGCTACT